TTCATTCCAGCAGGAAGTAAAGGATCCCATCAGCTTCCTGGGCCGTGGTTAGCAATGGGGGAGCAGGGGGGTCACAAGCTCACCAGGCATCCAGCTGTTTCCTTCTGCCAACCTAGGCAGTTCAAGGTGGGGACAGACATTCAGTCAAGGACTTGCTCCCCTGGCTGGGTCAGTAAAACTGAGAAATGAGAATTGGGACGCTAGGGATAGGCGGGCCTAGGTTTGAATCTGGGGAATGCCACTGAGTAACATAGGAGCCTGGGAGAGAAACTTCCTCTTTCTGAACCCTGTCTCCTCATCTGTTCATAAAAGAGGAGACGGGGTCCCTTCTCAGCGTTCGGGGTGACAGGCAGCTAGGATCTCGGGAACTAACTAACTCGGTTCTCTGTCCCCCAGCCATGAAAGCCGACCGAAAGCGCCTAAAGGGTGAAAAGACAGACCTGGTGAGCCAGATGCAGCAGCTGTATGCCACGCTGGAGAGCCGCGAGGAGCAGCTGCGTGACTTCATCCGCAACTATGAGCAGCACCGCAAGGTCAGCACTCAGCCCCCGCCCCTCCCCCTCCCCCCACCCACCAGCCCCCTCATTACGGCCCCTCCCCCTCCCGGCACAGGGTCTGGCCTTGAATCTCAAAACACAGATGCACTGCTCGTGTCTCCTTATGCTCACTTGGGGAGGCCCCTTGTCAGGCCCAGGTCTGGGCACTGAGATGAATAGGCACAGCCCCTAGTTACGGCTCCATGTCTCCTGGGCAAACCAGCCTGGACAGGAAAGCGCAGTCAGTGACAGTGTGCATTCTGAATTCCGGCTAGCCTGGGTTCAGATCCCGGTTCCCCACGTGTGTGCCTTTGGGCATCTCCCTTAACCTCTCAGAGCCTCAGTTTCCTCATCTACAAAACAGCGATCATGATACAGACCTTGCAGAGCTGTGATGAGGACCGTATGAGATGATGGATACAGGGCATTCAGCATAGCGCCTAGTGCATGCTAAGTGCTCAGTGACTGTCAGCTCTGTGTCTTACTAATAGTACCATAATAAGAGTGTGAAGAAAGGGCTGGGGAGAACAATGAGACAGCAGGAAATTCTGCCTCCTGGGAGAGTCCTGGAAGGCTTCACAGAGGCGGTGACATATAGGTTGGGCTCTGTGGGGTGAGTAGGAGTTTCTGGTCAGATGACCAAGGACTTTGGTTCAGTAAATATCTGTCTGGTATATGTGCTGTGGTCATGCTGAAGAGGGTCCCAAAACGTAAAGAAAAAAGAGTCAGTCCCCACAACGAAGCAGGCCTTGGTAAGCTGCTGTGTCTGCAGGGAGAGAGTTGTAACCTTTGGTGAGCGGGGCAGAAAGACTGTTGAAAACTGCCCTTCAAGTACATCATACCACATGACAACAGCTATGACCAAGGTTTGCATGTACTCCCTGGAGAAAACGGAGGTGGGAAGCTCGTTAAGTTTCCTTGGCCATGGGAGGTTTGAGTGGTTCTCCCAGTGGTTGGTGGCCTGGTTGCATGAGTGCATTCATGCGTGTTCCCTCTGAGCTAGACTGTTAGAGATGGCACTTGAATTTAAAAGCTTCAGCCCCACGGCCCACTTTGGTGTTTACCAGTGACCTGCCCTCTCACCTCCCAAGTACACAGATCCCTTCCTCTCCAGGATGAAAACAGCCCCGGGGGACCATGGTCAGTGCAACAGCTGACAGGTATGGCCTCCCGGGTCACATGGTGGACCAACCAGCTCTTTCCCCTGGAGCTGGGGACCCCATCCCAGCATCTACCCTCAGCACCTAGCAGCAAGCCTAGATCCTGGAATGTCCCATGAAATGAAGTGTGTGGATCAGAACCACTGAGAGTTGGCTGGTGTACTAGTGGCTGCCTACCACCTACCCCTGAATTAGGAAGAAGGTCCACTAGGACCCCCAGGATCATTTTTGTCTCTGTATCTCTTTGCAGTCAGTAGCTCCACTAGTTGTTAGCAGACCGAGGGTTCCAGGCTGGGGGGAAAGGCTGTAGGTGCTTTCAGCCTTGGTGAAAACTCTGACACCCCCTCGCATGATCACACCTCTGGCAGCAGGAGTGCTGCCATGGTCTGGTGAAGTTGACGCATAAAAGTAACCATCACGGGCTTCCCTGGTGGCGCAGCGGTCGAGAGTCCGCCTGCCGATGCAGGGGACACGGGTTCGTGCCCCGGTCCGGGAGGATCCCACATGCCGCGGAGCAGCTGGGCCCGTGAGCCATGGCCGCTGAGCCTGCGCGTCCGGAGCCTGCGCTCCGCAACGGGGGAGGCCACAACAGTGAGAGGCCCGCGTACCGCAATCAAAAAAAGTAACCATCACACGTGGCCTGGGAGGCAGGGTGGTACAGTGGTTAAGACCAGACAGTGGGTTAGACTCTTACCTCTGCCACTCGCTAGCCATGTGGCCTCATCCCTAAAACCGGGATAATGATAGCAACTACTCAGAGCCCAGCCTTGTCAGCACTGAAGTTTCTGGTACACAGAAAGCAGGCCTGGGAAAAATGCTTGTCGTTGTTGTTGTTGTTGTTGTTATTATTATTATTATTATTATTAATTATTGCCTCTGGGGGATTCAGAGTCAGGCATTTGATCATGGAAATTCCACAGTGGGTTTCAGGGCCCTTCTGTGGGTCTCTCATCTACCACTGCCTGGTGTTGGTCCCCCTGACAAACCCAGAGAAGCACACAGCCACCTGCTCTCAGGAAGCCTCTGGCCAGGCAGGAGCAGGTCCTGGCTGACCGCACACAGAACCCAGTCATGGGCCCTGCCTCTGGGAGGATGGCAGAGTCTCATGAAGAAGCAAGAACCATGCGGAAAATTAACCCAGATAGGACCTTCCCGGGGGCTCCGAGGGTCCCAGACGATCCAGGAACTGGGGGTAGGGGAAGTGTTCCCTGAGAACATGCACCTTGAAGGAGGACAGATCCAGATCAGAAAAGCAAAGAGGCGGAATTCCCTGGTGGTTCAGTGGCTAGGACTTGGCGCTTTCACACTTTCACTGCTGTAGCCTGGGTTCAATCCCTAGTCAGGGAACTAAGATCCTGCAAGCTGCGTGGCATAAATGAAAGAAAGAATGAATGAATGAATAAATGAATGAATGGAATGTGATGCTGATAAAAGGCTAAGTGGATCAAAAAAGATGGCTCTGTTTAGATAAGCACCCTAACAATGACTATGATGATGGCCATCTTTAGAGACCACCTGTGACCACCTGACACAGGATAATATTAATAATGGCAAACATTAATTGTGCACTTACTGTATGCTGGCTTGGTCCTAATCTCTTTACATTTGCTATTTTTAATAGCAACCCTATGAGGTATGATTGTCCCCATCATCCCCCTTTTACAGAGGCGAAAACTGACTTAGGTCAAGTCGCCAGAGGGACCTCAGCTCCCAGGTTGGCATCCAAGGTCCCAAACAGTTGGGCCGAGTCCTACCTTCATAAATTCCGGCCACCTTGATCCCCGTCAGGTTTCAGCACCCCAGGCAGGTCTCCTTCAGTTCCTTTCCTGCCGCCACTGCCAGCAAGGATTGAGACCTCCACCACACTATCTGCGGGGCTGCAGAAGTTATTTTACCTCTCTGGCCTCAGTTTTCTCATCTGTAAAATAGAGATAATCATAGACCCTGCCTCACAGGTGGTTGTTTAATATAATAATGCATCTGAAACCTCAGCACCGTACTTGACATGTGTACAGAACATTCTGTGACAGTTGCTACTGAGACCTGCACTCCTGCTGCCAGAGGTGTGATCATGCGAGGGGGTGTCAGAGTTTTCACCAAGGCTGAAAGCACCTACAGCCTTTCCCCCCAGCCTGGAACCCTCGGTCTGCTAACAACTAGTGGAGCTACTGACTGCAAAGAGATACAGAGACAAAAATGATCCTGGGGGTCCTAGTGGACCTTCTTCCTAATTCAGGGGTAGGTGGTAGGCAGCCACTAGTACACCAGCCAACTCTCAGTGGTTCTGATCCACACACTTCATTTCATGGGACATTCCAGGATCTAGGCTTGCTGCTAGGTGCTGAGGGTAGATGCTGGGATGGGGTCCCCAGCTCCAGGGGAAAGAGCTGGTTGGTCCACCATGTGACCCGGGAGGCCATACCTGTCAGCTGTTGCACTGACCCCACCTGAAGACAGCTTCAAAGAGAAAGGAGAAGAGAAATAACTAGCGGTGGAGTGCCCCTCTGCACGGAGAGCCTTGCTTCCAGAACCCGAGAGTACAGCTTTGCCTGGGCTTTTGCAATAGTGCCATCTTTTGCTCTGCATCTCGCATTACCAGTCTCTTCTGACCATCACCCTGGGATGTGATAGTGTCGTTCTCTCATAGATGAGGTGGTTGAGGTTTGGGGAAGCTGCATTACTTGTTCAGTGTCACACAGCTTGTAGAGGATGGAGCTGAGACTTCACACCCAGGCACCCTGACCCCTAGGAGACACGTCCTGGAAGGAATCATCCCCCTGACACGCACACCACCTCCTCTAGACTACACTGAGAAGCCTGGGGCTGGTGACACAGACACCTGTGTCCTCCACTCACCCCAGCTGGGAGAGCTGTCCTGTGATGGCCTTTGGAGTCAGTCACAGCAGCTGCCAAACACTCATTCTTTTCCGCAGCAGTGTTCCTTGGCTGCTGTCTGCCAGGCTGCTGTTCTGCGACCCGGGTGTCTGCCGATGACCTAGAGCGTGCAGGAGGGCTTTTTGGTGTAAGCTCCTCGGGCACAGGGATTTTTGTCTGGTTTGTGCCTGCTGGTGGCATCCACGAATATTGGTTGAATGACCAGTATCCGGTACCAGTATGAGAAACAGACTGGGAACAGCTGGGGCTGCTTTCTTAGACAGATAGTCAGGGAAGGCCTCTCGGAGACATTTGAGCAGCGTCCTGAGTGAATGAGTGAGTGCCTGCTGTGTGCCCGGCACCGTTCTGAGCTCTAAACTTGGATTATCTCATCCAGTCCTCACAGTAACACCCCCAAGGACGGGTGCTGTGATCCCGTGTTACAGACGAGGAAACTGAGGCACGACAGTTATTGCAGCTTTTGTTCTTGCAAAGCCAGGATTCGACCCAGACTCACTCT